CACTCAGCAATGTTGGGTCCCATTCTTCTTCTCGACTAACATGACGGCAGCTGACCAGGGATTATCTAATTTTTCGACTATCCCTTCTTTAATTAGGCCATCCATGACCTTCTCCATCTCTTGCTACTCTCCTTGGAGGGATCTTTATTGGAGGTTGATTGCCTGTGTTTATTCTGTGTTCCACAAGGTCTGTGCAGCCAAGGTCACGATCTCCTTTTGAAAAGATGTCTGCATATTTCGCCAAAAGTTCCCTAACCTGAAGAGCCTGTGATGATGACAAATGGACTATGCTGTTCTTATAGAAGCCAGTTAAATGTTCTGGGAGAGGATGTCCTTTTTTTATTGCTGTATTTCTTGCTTTAACATTGACAAGCTCTACCTTCTGGCACACACACCCAACAATGTCCCTTACTTAAGTGTTTGCTCACATTTAGAGAAATTAGCCACTGTTAGTGGTACTATTTTATGGCCTGCCACAAGTGACCTTCCAATCCCCACGTCTGCTGGCCTGGATGGGTCTTCCACTGCTTCCATAAGCATCGGGCTTCCTTGGGGATGGGATGTTTCTTTATCCTACCCCAAATTATCTTCTCTGACATAGAGTTGACTTAAGTGCTGTGACATGCAAATTAAAAGATGCAGCAACACTTACCGTAATTTGGCCTTTGTTGTTCCCAAACATCATTTTATTGAAGTTAACTACACACTTCGTCGGTAGTAAGTAGTCCAGCCCTAATACGCATGGGTTTTCAATGTCAGCCAAGTATAATTTGTGTCTGTCTATTATGCCCATGAGCTCAATAGATACCCACATTGGTCCCCACAACCTTGCATAACGTCCTGTCACACCACAGAGCTTATGTATTGCTTCTGGTACTCCTTTGTGATTTAGCATCTTGATACTCACAAGCGTTTGCTGAGATGCAGAATCTATGAAAAAGTTGCCACTTTGGCTATCCAGCTTTCCTGTCACGTAGACACTATGTGTGCTTGGCATTTTACACCTAGCTGTTGGGACCTTCACGATGGGGGTTGGTGGGTGTTCCTCAACACCAACCACTACTGGTTTCCCGAAGCTGACTTACTGAAAGTATTCTTCTTACACTGGCTCTTCATATGTTCTTGCTCGCCACAGTTCCAACAACCTTTCTGGGTAGCAGCCTTACCTGCCATGGCATCTCCCCTATATTGAAGTTTCCAGCGTTGAACTCTCTTGTGCCTAGGTTTATTACAGTACCAGCAAAGTCCCTCAAACTTCTCTGAAAGCTGTCCTTTTCTGGCCTTGAATCCTGGTGACTGTACCAACCTTGGTACCTCTGTACTGGACTTAATGTAGGATTGAAATTCAAGAACTCTGGCCATTGCATCTTGCATAGTAGAAGGGTGTGCTTCCTTTACTTGTATCTTCAGATGTGGACTGTCCAAGACATCTACAAACTTATCCCTCAGCAACAGCTTGAGGACATCAGGTGGTGCAGTTGCGTAGGTCTTGTGTGCCATACTTTCCTAATCCTGTGCCAGCTCTTGCAGGCTCTCCCCTTTAGCACGAACTCTAGTCCTAAACCTAGCCTTGTAGACTTCGAACTGATTTTGAGTTCCATACCTGAATTCTAGAGCATTTACCAGTGCTCTATAGTTGTGCCTGTCGTCTCCTGACAACTGTTCAAGTATTTCCAGCGGTTGTCCCTTCAGGCTCGTTGCCAGGTACACTGCTTTCTGCTCCTTTGTCCATCCATTAATATCTGCCAGGAGCTCAAATTGTGCTCTATATGCTTCCCATGGTGCCTTCCCATCGAATTCCCGTGGCTTCCTTCATACTAGATCGCCTCTATTGCTGACACTCATGTCTGGAATGTGACTGCTGGCAGGACTGAAGATGTCTGCATTAGGGTTTAGCTGCAGGGTCTGGAAGGGGCTTCTTGTTGTCTGGGGATGATTAGGTCCAAGGCTAATATATTATCCCTTTGTAAAAGACAGTAAATCGTCCTTTGATGTATTTAATTCACTTTGAAATTTACTAATATTTTCAATTTGCACTTCATGCTGATGTTGTACTCTCTCTCTTTGTTCTTTTTGCCACTGTTGCTGACTTCCCTGTAACTGCTGCTGACTTTCCTGCAACTGTTGAAGACTTCCTTCCTGTTTATTTGCCTTCTCCTTCAACCACTGCTGTAGTCTCTCTTCTTGTTTATTTCCCTTCTCCTTCAACCACTGCTGTAGGCTCTCTTCTTGTTTATTTTCTCTTTATTCTTGTTTCATTTCTTTTCCCCAACAACTGCTGTGATCTTTCTTTTTGTTTCTTTTCTTTTTCCTCCAACAACTGCTGTAATCTCTCTTCTTGTTTCTTTTCTTTTTTTCTTCAACAACTGCTGTAATCTCTCTTCTTGTTTATTTTGCTGTTCGAGCTGCCACTGTTGCAGGTTTTCTTGCCACTGCTGCTGTTGTCTCTTTTGTTGTTTATTTTTTCGTTCATCTTGTTTCTTTTCTTTTCCTCCAACAAATGCTCTAATCTCTCTTCTTGTTTCTTTTCTTTATTCCTCCAACAACTGCTGTAATCTCTCTTCTTGTTTCTTTTGCTCTTCTTGTATTGCTGCCATCAAATCTGCTAAGTTGTAGTTTGATTTGCCACTTCTCGTTTCCATCTTTTTTTCAGTCCCACTCTCTGACACCAATTTGTTACATATCTGCTTGTTTGTTTGTTTCCG